TGTTCGTGGGAGGCTATTAACTGTGACAACTCGCTAAAAAGAAGAGACAGAAACAAGGTTTACTATCAGTCCCTTGGTTTTCCATAATAAGCGGCATGGCTTGCTAGATCATATGGGAGCGAATGCAACATATAGTGGTATCAAACCTCCTAATCGAGATTAGATCTATCTTCTCCAGGGAGAAGTCACGCCCATCCGAATGGTGGGCACTTTTTTCAAGTATGGTATTCTTTAGGCTGTACATGACTGCCTTGACTGAATTATGGTTCGTAATTTTAGGGCTAAACAGATATATTTTACAAGTTGTTTCACCAAACATAAGCAATAATGTATCTTCTGGTTCCTGCGATAAGTCGCCCACTTTTCTTGGTTCACTGTTGACTGCAGACAGTGCCGCGCACCAGTAAGAGATCGATGAACTAACAGGAAGATGCAACAAGTAGGTTGGCGCCAGCCTGGTTTAAAACACATGGTAAGGGAGAATATGCTATAGGTCTTAATAGACTTTGTAATCACGCAATTCATATCTGTTACTTAGGAAGCCAAATAGCGGATGAAATAAAATATTCAGTTTGTGTGTGTATTATTTTGTCTTAGAAAAGGCCACTGATTATTCTGACGAAATCAGGCAATTGCGGTAAACTAACCTCACGTAAACCGATGTTAAATCTATCTCATATAAGGAGAACATTGGCCAAGAGCGAGAAATTTATCTAACGATCAACAGAGAGAAAAACAGATAATTTTGTTTCCCGCAAAAACAATGAGGAATCAATGGAACGCAGATTTTACGGATCAAATTTTAAACAGAATTACAATTACTATCTTGCATTGATGCACAAGAAAGCTGCCCAGTGCTGCAACTTGTGAAAAACTCACCTTAGATTTTGTCAAGTAAGTGCTTATCGATAGTTTCGGATGGGGCGATAATCGACTTGGATCCATTCATGAGGTAGGACTTGCCAGGTGATGTATTCCTGCACGTTTCATACAATTGTACATTGTACCACTCGGCACCCAGTTGCTTACAGGAAACATCGTAGTAGGATAAAGTTAGTTACCGTATAAACGTTTGAATTGTCCACACGGGTAAGTGACGATTTAATCGCTTTTGATTTTTACCAGCGTTGGAAATATTCCTGCTTGAGCAGTGCCACATATGTTGAAAATGATTTACGGGATGCTTAAAAACGCAGATGTAATTCATACTTACTGAGCTTCTGGTTCCAGTTATCGAGTAGGTTGTGGATAACATCCATACCCAATTTATATCCAGGGGCTCATGCCATCCTGCAAGCTTATCCAAGAATAACTTAAAAACTGTTAATATGGACTAGAAGACGAGAAACAATAGTGTGGTAATGTGCAAAGGTAAATAGTAAATATGCAGATTTTGTTGACTCACAACCCACCAAGTGACAACACCCACTGAACCGTTGTTTCTAGTAGATCCACCAAAAGGTTGGCAGTGATTATCGCCTTTACTTTCTTAGCTAAAAGCACAAAAAGTCTTTTTCTTACACACAGATAAGGCTTATTTTTTTACACGCAGTATTCCGGCATCTTGAAAGTGAAACTGACATCCCAAAGTTTCTGAAATTAATCGAAATTTGTGCAACAATAAAGGCAGTAGTCGGAATTGCATCAACTTAACACTCGAGTCGGTATAATTCAGCTTTTTTCGCTCCTTAAATAATGGTTCTTAAATTACCATGTTTTATCTATTGCCCTGATCTCTGTTATTACTGTGTCAGTGGGTTCACCGTAAAACACTATGAAGACCAAATAAGTTTGCGTTTTTCTTCTGCCTTTAAGTTATTCGACGGATGGTAAACAAATTTGGCTAAGTGGAGAATAACAGTAACCAATGACGACGCTGTTACCTGATCTTCTACCTGTCCAACCGTCCTTGAGAGGTTTTCGACAACCAACCCGTTTCACGACGTATCCTGTTGTTGAACTTAAATATTTGCATAAAATCTTTTACGAGTAGTACAACTAACACTTCTCACCCATATTATGATTACAAAAGCAAGTTTGGCAATAGCTACCGAGATACTAAGGTTTCTGAGAGCCTGATAATGATCTTTGAATGTCGTTCCAAGTCTTCAGACCTTGTCGAGTTATATACCATTTTTCAAAACCGTGAAACCTATCTATTTCGACCACATTTTTCTTTGCACCTCTGGTAAGAAAGTTGGTGGTCATTGGATGTGTGGCTTGGAAGGACGTGTTCGAAACAAATAATAGTGTCTACCGAATAGCGGTAGATTCGCGATGCTGCCAACCGCTAGAGTGCATCACGCTCTATGCGAACCGGTTATGATTTTGAACTGGTTCGGCGCAACGAAACCGCAAAATGTGACGAACGACCTTCATTGTGTCATAGGATGATGAACGTCAAAAAGTTAGCGAAACGAAAACGACTACTCTGCTTCACTGAATGGGCTAAATGGTTTTATCTGTTGTAAGTTAACATGTGTCTAGTTATTCAGCACTCTTGTTGAAATCGTTCACCTAACATGGATGCAAGAACAGTCACCAATTTTTCCTTCAGCAAGCAAAAGAAATAAAAAATATATTTCCGCAGTACTCTTTTCAAGCAGATTGCATTCATATACAGAAAAAATCTCTTACCTATGGCTTTATCGTTCCCCCCAGCGAGTTTCGCCAGGCACAGGAGAGGTTTTCGCAAAACAAGTTGCGATTTTGGGTTTGCACGGTGCAGTTAGTGGTGTTGGGGAATACCCACTATTCTTCTACTACCCACTACTACCCACTATTCTTCTATAAAGCGCTTCCTAAATTCATGTTCAATCCTTCCTCCGCGAATTTAGGCAAAGTGCAGTCCGCCTTTTACCTTTCACTTAGATCCTATTCTTAGTAAGATACATAACGCAGCAGTCAACTATTGGGTCTGGTCGTACTTTGGGATATGAATGTAGGGCAAAAATTTAAAATTTTGGAATATGGCACACTGGGACTGGTGGCCTGTTAAAAGCTGTGGTACTCCAGCTGCTTCCATGGCGTCAGGATTTTTTCTGAATTTTTGGTTCGACGTTATGCAGGGGATGTCGCTCTTCGCTTCTAATAGCCGGCATCACATGAAAAGAAGTCGAAACCCTTTCTTCGAGGACGGGAGTAGAATTTTGGGTTTTGCTTTATTCTGTGCGAAAAAAACAGCAGGACAGACCAGGCAACTGGGAAGGATTTGGGAATGTCTCTTATTTGTTATTGTGCGCACCAGGTGCATTCTGAGAGGCACCTAAATTGGAGACCTTAACATTGCTTACGCTGTATGCACTGATACATCCTCCGTCGCGGTGTACCATTGAGCGAATAAAGTATACATTTTTATGGTCGATGTTTTCACGGCGGCCCTTCCCCATAGGGGAGAAATTGTCGATTCAAATGTTAGTCGCCTACGGAAACATTGTTTTTTCAACACTTCTATGGATGCAAACCATGTAGCGTTTACACTAGTCTGCCTGAAAAAATGAATTTTTCCTACAAAGTTGGCTCGTTGTTCGACTTGTTAGCACGATCGACTATCAAACAACCCACTTTAACTCAAAGGGTTATCGCGGAATCAAGTCACGACCGGAACAATAAGGTTAAATCTGGAGTTTCGTATTGATACACAATTAAAACCCGATTTGTAACAACATTTTGTGAGTCTTAAATTTCGACTTTTCTGACATGGTTGAGGGCACCCCACCGTACTTCCGACCTCAGCCGTTATACATAAAACACGGTTTTTGACCCCACCACAAACCCATCTGGATAACTTATACAATACGCAGGTGATATGTCTTTCCAGCCCTACCCCAAAAACTGAGGTTGGAGAACGCAGAGAGCCACCACAAATTGTTGCAGTGTCGTTAGAGATGATGTTAACGTCATTCAAATAAAGCTGAATTTGTGGTAAATGCAAAAAGATTTATTGTGTAACACAAAGATTTAACAGATGTGTGGACAATGCACTTGTGGCGTATGGGCTAATGTTACACATGAAAACTTTCGTAGATGTTTCGGTCAGATCATTTGACGGTGTGGAAAACACGCAATTTTTCTAAGATGCTATAGCCAAAAGAAAGCACTAAGAAGCGCACTCTTCAAGCACTGCTTCTGAACCCTCTCAAAACCTTCGAAGGATTTTGCACCCCTTACCTGCAGTAATGAGAGTGTAAACGACACGTTTTATCATCATTTATCAGTACTTACATTATACCAGACAGTTGTCTTTCCTGAGTTACAAGCGTTTTTAACTCAGCAACAAGTTTTGTAGTGTTTTTTAAGACTGCTTCAAACGTCCATTAACATCCATTACCATCTATTCCATCACTTATAAACAACTGATTTGTTGGAGATAATCACTAAGGGAATACCATGCTGAGCATGTCAAGTGATGAGGCTTTGCGTGTGTGTGATAGCTAACAATGGAAGCCTATTAACTGCTTTCTTCAACAGAAAAATGAATGTTTTAAGTGGACACACTTTCAAGGATAAAACACGGTGTAGTGGAATAAGATGTAATCCCACGTTTTTGTTCCCATAGGTAACCTTTCCCACGAACTTTAACAATTATTGGCCCTTAGATTTCCCGCAGAATAACTCATCTAGAATTCTATTTCTATCAGAATACTGGCTTTTGCGGAATCGTATATTCGGCATACAAACCCGTCTTTACAGCCCATCAAATAATCCAGCATTTGTTTAAACTTCAAAGACCCGGAAGAGCACTCAAAGCCACCACTATTTCCAAGTTCCATCGACGCTCCCCACGTCCAAATTCGAAGAAGTTATCGAGGGACACAATATCTGTGCATGCGAGTAGTACATCGATGCCCGAAATTAAGCCTGAGGAGCAGGCTATTTGTGAATCGCCTAGCTCACCGTCGGAATCTTTGCCTTTGTCGTCACGAATGGAAAATATTAATGATACAAAGTGAAAGCCAAAACCCGTATCACCGACGGCTGATGAATATGAAGAAGAAGAAATGGGAGAAGACGACTTGGATGTCGATGACGATGATGCTGTGGTTGATGAAACAGGTCACAGTAGGACCATTTCTAGAAGACTTTTGGGAAGCTTAGGACTGATGGACATAGGCATGAACGAGCAACGTTTTCTTGAGTACTTATCACTCCCACCGGATCAACCGGTCAACAGCCATCGTCGGCTGTTTCGCTCGTTACGGACGCGGATGCAACAGATGAAAATGAATCGCTCTCCCATTTATCCTCGCAAAATTCCATCAAGGCTCCGGACGCAGCAACCAATAATGATAAAAAAAGTCTCGAATCCGGTGGACGAAGATGACAGATTTACAAAAAAAGCACCTATTTGGAAACCATGCATATATCGAATTCACATTTTTTCCACACTCCTGTCGAGTCCGTCGAAGAGTTGAGGCCACATAAGACACACAAGCCATGGCGATTAATTTTTTGGAAATTTTTGATTTTATACGTATTCTTTGGTAGTTGTTGGTGAAGCAACTATAAACTCGTACAACAAAAAAGATGATTTCAAATGGAAATTTCAAAATTGGTAAACCGTTGCCGTGCATCAGACAAAATTAGCAGGAAAAAACAGACCTCCAAGCCAATCCTTGAAGAAAAAGAATCGGATGTGCTAACGATAAAAGCCCGGATTTATCGTTCTGAATCGTACAAACATATACAACTCACAGAGGTTAACGTTCCTTTATCATCTCTGCGGTATTAAATGGCAAATCGTGAGCAGCACCCATTAACCCCAACCCAGATCCCACGTGTAACTGTAAAGTTTTTATGTTTGTAGCTTCGTAGTTGCGCCTAAATAAAAGAATCTGGTATATTAATCATCCGAAATACAAAAACCAAGTGCCAGAAATGTGCAATGAAGTGTTCCTGTAATGGAACTGGATTCATTGTGAACAAAGTCAAGGTCCAGCGTTTCAGCATTACATGCAGAAGTTTCGGCAGGTTAGAAAAGCCATTGGGACCCAAAGCGCACGTACAACTTAAACCTCGATGCCCAAATAATATATTCTACTAAACGTTGTAGCTGATAATACACTATTTTGTACTACCCAACCAGGCGTACTTAGTGTGAAAAGAGGTAGGTGAATAGAGGCAGTATATCTTTTCCAAGCGGTGGAATCAGTACACTAATTTAAACAATTCGGATAATTCTGAGTCAAAATCTGAGTTAGAAAGGTAAAGCGCGTTTTCTCGGAGTGTTATTTTTTAAAATAATCGTTTACAAACGTTTTGGAGTAGAAAAATACCGACCACTTCTAACTCGGTCGATATTTTTCAATGCGATCAAACCCAGCTGTCAGTGTTAATAAGTGTTTAGAAAACACATTTTCTGGTCACGTGATAAAAGTGCACAAAGATATGGCGAAACCAAAATTTATCGAGTGTGATGTCAGAAAGCGCCTCGTGATCCGAGGTCCTCGTAGCGGGTTGCGTCCAAAGGATGTATTTTTCAATCGACGGGCCTACCACAAATATTCAGGATGTGCCCAGCACAAGTAAGGTGTTAATTGTCGTGTAGCGGTGGGATTCTGTCACATTTGGTCACATTCTGCCCAAATATAGCAGAGTAGTAGAGTAGTAAAGAGCCTTTTACACATTTAATCTAAGGTCACTAGTACTACATGAGCGTACCTTGAAAGAGGCACAGAGATTTTGTGCAATCAAGATGAAGGTTCATTTCCATGAGGAAGAAACTTCGTATATTTAGAGACTTGCAGTCTTGCACATTGTTTGATATCTGTCACTACAATTTACGGTTCCCATCTGGTAGTGCAAAGATTTGGAATTTCAGAATAAAAACAACACTGTTTTTTTTCACCAAACTTTATTAGGATTTTTTTTTCAGAGAACTAGTGAGGAAACAATCAAATTTATTTAGCGCTGCCCGGGAAAGCGAACGATGATGAAAACAGTCTGATGTTGGTATTAGTTTACTAGCATCTTTCCCTGTACTTTAAGCAAAATGTCAAACTATCTGGACAACGTTTGTCTATTCGGACAGTGGTGTGCTTTTCGTTGTACCACAGTCGCATCTATAAGCTTGCATTCATTTGCTTATCATAGCCGTTCCGCCACCATCTGTTATTATGGATTTTATTATTGATTTGATCGCAAATACACTTATTGTACACCAGCTTCCCAAAATGAGGAACAAACTAACCGACCACGGTTTGTTCTGTCCAAAAAATGAACATCCCCAACATCGATGCTATCTGAAATCGCGCTATGCCCACGCAATTTTATTTGACATCTTACGGGCGGTCATGCAGTGCGCAGTGTGACGCTGTCAACTGGTATTTTGGCTCATTGTCCTGTCCTGTGGCTATGGTCATTGTTTTGGAAAGAGTAACCACATAATATACTGGACACCATAAAAGACTACCTTGATTTTCATATGATGCTCGTTAGGATAATAAACCCCACAGAAGATACCAACCTGAAGTAAAAAACACCTATTTTCGTCTTCGGATGTCGTAACTCCAGAGTTTTCAAACTCTTACGAGAAATTGCTCCCGATCTCTTGTTACAAGTGGGCGCAAAAGTAAGTTTGGACAAGTTATCCTGCCTTTAAAGTTAGTCCTTAGGGGCTCACAAAACGTATAGTTCAATTTTAATATCTGCTATCAAAAACCTACCAGATAAAACGGATCACAAGAAGCCAACCTCAAGTGGTCTTATCTAAGGGGACGGTATTTGCGCAACGATGGCATTCACTGTGCCCTTATTCTAAAGGTGAGTAGGTGATCTCTCTCAGACGACACCAAGTTTAAGGCTAATTTCACGGGATCAGACCTAAATAGTCCCAATTTAGAGGTGGCGTTAGTTTCTGGTTCAGGAGAAATATGCTTAAGATTGTGGGTATATTTATTTAGATAACAGTTGGCTTTTTTGATTAGCCTAATGCAGATTCGAGCTGCTTTCTTCACAATTACAACCTAGGAGTTACCGCGTTATTGTGCAAGTCAATGCATTTAAGCCTAATCATCTACTGCAATGAATCTGCGGACCGTGTTTCGTAAATGTGTTCGTAAATAAGCTATCTACTTCCAACAGCCTCGTGCCAACATCTGAGTATACTTATTCGTCTATAAGCATCTTAAGGTACATAGCCCTGCTTTACGTGGTTATCACCAGTGTGTTTAACCGGTGCGGGTCAAGCTTCCTACAATTACACAATGTCTCAAAATGGGGATACGTGGAGGGCCTCTATCAAGTTCTCGGGCGTTTAAAAATGTCTGAAAATTCAAACGCATATTTTAAGTTCATTAAGAAGGTGGATACCTGCACTACATCATAGTAGTGATGTAAGCAGTTCGTAGAGCAAATGTTTGTCTATTGTGGATGCCGAATCTCAGTCAGTGTATGTAATGTTCGAGGTGATAGATTAGAAACAGTCTTCATTTGAGGAAAGATTTTGCTTAATTTTACAGGAAAATCCGCCTTTCGGAGGGGATCAATTTGAGTATGTCATTATGTACTGTTCCGCATCACTGTCCGATGACTTTCTGACCCTTGGCTCTAGTGTTTACGTATTATATCTGAATGGACAGAACAGGATGCCTATGGTGAACATGTAGGATAGGGGGACCTGAACTACCTGACATCCAGTGGATGGCATGAGGACCAGGAGTTTCCTCTGCGAAGGTGTTACACAGTTTCAAACTCTGCTGAGTTCCTCATAGTACACTTGCTTTCGTTGGTATGCTCATTGTCGTTCTTCTACACTTCAGTATACCAATGAAATTTACGTTGCGTAATCCATTTGAGTATAAATAATGAAGTTTTTTGCTCCCTTAATGACAGAGGTCCTTCCCTGAAAGGGTCCGTTCCTGCGGATTTAATTTCAAAAGTTTACTTAGCTGTGATCGGTCATGCATCCACTTAATGCCCTGAGAAAAGAAAACTCAAAACACAAATTTTGCACCATAGTGTTTATCGGTAAGGGGAATTTACCATCGGAGACACAAAGACTGATCATTTTTGGCCTCTCAGAAGGAATCAAGTTCAGGACAACTCTCTCAGGACCCTACTTAAATTACTTTAGTTGGTTCCTTTTGGGGATCAATTTTTTTCTCTATCATTTGCACCACTCGAGATATTGAAACAGCTGCCTAAAGACGCAAACTATTCAGCTGATTACACAGGCCACTAATCAGAAAGCTAGTTTCGAATTCCTTATCAGGTTTCACCACGTTTTTCGCCGAGTCACCTGTAAGCGTGTTGGGTCATGCATCCTGTATTGAATTACCGCATGGTTTTTAAGTAAATAGACATGTTGCAATTTTCACGTTTACCCTGACCCACCATCCTATTGTCATCTCAACTCAAAGCACGCACAACGCCACAACACAAGTCACCTGATACTCGACCGAATGAAAGCATCCAGCTCAACTATTTTCACGGGTCCACATGACCAGTGGTGATGACGATTAACGAGGACTCAGATTAAATGACGCTCTATTGATTAGTCTATTGATTAGGTAAACTGGAGCAGACAGACAAAAGGTGGATAAGACGACAGGACCAAAATTTTTTCATTCTTAATTGTTTGTTAAGATGAACTTTCGAATAAACTCTTTGCAGAAGATGAACAAAAGACAAACGAGCAAACACGCCCAACTTTCCACGAACCTGCTAATCCGAACAGAGGATTCAGGACGTGTTTTCCAAAGGTTTTAGGAAAAATTTCATCCATGATTGGTATCGTTTTCTAATCTTTTCGATTACAACGGTGCGTAGTTGTTCCTTAGGACGATAGAAATGTATGCTGACAACAAAATGTGAAATGTATCACTGAAGAGTTTGATTGGTCGATCAGTGTCCATGCGTTGAGTTATACTAGGAACACATTGCGTAAGCAGTCCAGAAAGTAGTTTTTCGTCGGTATCTCTTCAGGACTGAGAGTCTTCCTCCGGCTCACACTTTTTGCCACTAAATCCTGCACCAGTTGCCACCTGCAAAAGAACTATATACTGTCTTGGTTACCAAAACTATCCAGCCACGATCAACTTTGTTTTGAATACACCCAACGATTTCCTGTTATTCCACTAGATGAGCAGATGAAACCATCCTAAATTTCAAAACGTTTTTCTCGGCAACGTCCCCTAAATTGCAATCAGTTACATTATTCTGTTCCGACCAAGTCCCAGGCAAGCTGCCATCAGATTTGAGCTGGCTCTTTGATGATATGCTCAGTTGCGTACAAGCGAACAGGGCTTAACCTGTAGGAATTACTTTAGAATGTGAAATTTCACCAATCAAATGACTGTTTCAAGAAAGGAAGCCGCAGCCCCAAATTTCGTACGGATGAGTGTTTTCTGTTTAGCGGAATGTGCTTTGATCACGAATAAACTGACCAATGCTGTCAAACCAAACACTGGTTGAGTGTGCTATTGAATTCGGTAACAGATGCATTCATTGTCCGGTGCGACCGTATGATAGCAGGAAAATCTTTGACGTCCAGGGCTTCCGTGGACAAATGAGCTCAAACCCTCCAGAGTGTCTTGACAGCCGCAAGACAAGGACAGACAACAATCTATTAGAAGTGGATGCGGCTTGTAACAAATCAAAATGGTGAGAAGTGCAACACAGCAGCAGACATCACTACTATTCTAATTCGCTTCTGAAATTCAGACAAATGGACAACCCAATCCAAGCAGACACAGAAAGGTAAAATCCTTACAGAATGAAGATACATTGCTGGTCATGTAGGGAAGAACATTTAAAACCCATTCAAGGTAGTTGTGACCAAATACAGGCAAGATTTTTCCTGATGGCATGCTTATCCGATGGATGCTCTTTCCAGCTAGACTATACAACGGGCCATAAAAATAAAAACGTGTAGTACGATTTGCTGCGTAAAATCATGCCTAACCAGTTGGTACTGCAGATGAAATACAACCATAAAGAGATGGGGCATTCAGGCAGATAAAACCAGTTCAAGAATCAGTAAGCGATACTTTTAATGTACTTATGAGGTTTTGAAATATAAGCAACTAGAATGTTCTGCTTGGTCGTTAATATTTTCGCCAAGCTTGGTAGTCGGAATGCAAACATTTCATCGCCAATCGGTCCTCAGCAATCCAACTTTTATGAGTGACGAACAGACGAAAAACCAAGAATTGGAATTTCTACCGACTGGTCAGTGATCGTCGACTGGTGCTGGTACTTTGGCGCACGCTACATTGCTGTCGCTGTACTAGACCAAACTGAAACACACTGGTATTCTGCACGATTTGCATACTGTCTTCGAAAGCAGAAAAAATGATCCAACACTGTCATTGTTGGTGAGACAATCTTTATGACGCTTTTGAAGGAACTTGAACTTAATACCTTTTCCTCCAGACAGCATATCGATTAAATTTTCTTGGTAATCTGTGGACTTGGGACTTTGTACTGATCTTAAGAATGCTATGACTGTGTGAAACAACACAAGGTTGTAGATTCTGAGTCAAAAGCGCAAATTCAGCTCCGTCTTTGCTGTTTGATGCTCCTGGTAGCAAACCGGCTTTGGTAATGCTTGTTTGCAGATGTTTCATTTGATACTTTATTTGAGGTATCGGAATGCGCTGTTGCCTGGACGCGTTTCTACTCATAAGTTTCCTGACACCTCTTCGACAACGGGAGGCCGCTTTCGATCTTCTTGAGGCTCCTCAGGAAGTCCCAAAGCGTTCTTCATGCCGATAGAAATGAGCCACTCATGGCATGACAGCCTACAAGTGCATCACCTGTTATCTGTACCACTGTAGAGTGGTAAGCCAGTTCAGAAATTAATGATACATCTTGGTTGTTTGTCTGTTCGCTGAGCTTGGCAATCCAAATGCTGAGCTCGGCGAACAGACCAACAACCAAGCAGCGCACCCGAGCCACCTATATTCCACAACATTGCTAATGATACACCTATGTACCTGGGAATCCGAAGAATTGACGTAGTGTGCACACCAACACTAACCGGTTGAACCTATCGTTTGACCCTTCATAGGTGTCCCCAGCTGATGCTTCAATGCTGGTCCAAGTCCCTATCTTAGAGAACGAAGAGGGTACCTTTGGCTAGCTGAAATGTTGGATCACATCATTTGTAAATCAGCAGAATTTTGTTGTCTAAAAGGTTTTAGTAAGATTCGTGCATTTTTCACAAACTTTCTTCATTTGATTACGCAGGACGCACATCCACGGAGAGGCCCAGTTTTGCTAAATCAACATTAGTTTTAATTGACGGGTATTACGAGTTGAAAGAGCTTCCTTACGTCGAAGACCGTGTTTCTCTGATTTGTCTAGTATGCAAAGAAAAATTAGTTACCAAACCGCTGGATTGATTTTCGCATTAAAGTTTCATCGTTGACTTGACATTGACAGCAGGCATGAGTTTCCTACCGAAAACTAAGTCCTTACTTGAGTGTGTTGTTTGTAATGTAACAAAAACTGCTGCGAGACGGAGTTCAGTCAGTCGGGAGACGAATAAAAGCAGACACAGAAAGGTAAAATCCTTACAGAATGAAGATACATTGCTGGTCATGTAGGGAAGAACATTTAAAACCCATTCAAGGTAGTTGTGACCAAATACAGGCAATATTTTCCCTGATGGCATGCTTATCCGATGGATGCTCTTTCCAGCTAGACTATACAACGGGCCATAAAAATAAAAACGTGTAGTACGATTTGCTGCGTAAAATCATGCCTAACCAGTTGGTACTGCAGATGAAATACAACCATAAAGAGATGGGGCATTCAGGCAGATAAAACCAGTTCAAGAATCAGTAAGCGATACTTTTAATGTACTTATGAGGTTTTGAAATATAAGCAACTAGAATGTTCTGCTTGGTCGTTAATATTTTCGCCAAGCTTGGTAGTCGGAATGCAAACATTTCATCGCCAATCGGTCCTCAGCAATCCAACTTTTATGAGTGACGAACAGACGAAAAACCAAGAATTGGAATTTCTACCGACTGGTCAGTGATCGTCGACTGGTGCTGGTACTTTGGCGCACGCTACATTGCTGTCGCTGTACTAGACCAAACTGAAACACACTGGTATTCTGCACGATTTGCATACTGTCTTCGAAAGCAGAAAAAATGATCCAACACTGTCATTGTTGGTGAGACAATCTTTATGACGCTTTTGAAGGAACTTGAACTTAATACCTTTTCCTCCAGACAGCATATCGATTAAATTTTCTTGGTAATCTGTGGACTTGGGACTTTGTACTGATCTTAAGAATGCTATGACCGTGTGAAACAACACAAGGTTGTAGATTCTGAGTCAAAAGCGCAAATTCAGCTCCGTCTTTGCTGTTTGATGCTCCTGGTAGCAAACCGGCTTTGGTAATGCTTGTTTGCAGATGTTTCATTTGATACTTTATTTGAGGTATCGGAATGCGCTGTTGCCTGGACGCGTTTCTACTCATAAGTTTCCTGACACCTCTTCGACAACGGGAGGCCGCTTTCAATCTTCTTGAGGGTCCTCAGGAAGTCCCAAAGCGTTCTTCATGCCGATAGAAATGAGCCACTCATGGCATGACAGCCTACAAGTGCATCACCTGTTATCTGTACCACTGTAGAGTGGTAAGCCAGTTCAGAAATTAATGATACATCTTGGTTGTTTGTCTGTTCGCTGAGCTTGGCAATCCAAATGCTGAGCTCGGCGAACAGACCAACAACCAAGCAGCGCACCCGAGCCACCTATATTCCACAACATTGCTAGTGATACACCTGTGTACCTGGGAATCCGAAGAATTGACGTAGTGTGCACACCAACACTAACCGGTTGAACCTATCGTTTGACCCTTCATAGGTGTCCCCAGCTGATGCTTCAATGCTGGTCCAAGTCCCTATCTTAGAGACGAAGAGGGCTACCTTTGGCTAGCTGAAATGTTGGATCACATCATTTGTAAATCAGCAGAATTTTGTTGTCTAAAAGGTTTTAGTAAGATCAGTGCATTTTTCACAAACTTTCTTCATTTGATTACGCAGGACGCACATCCACGGAGAGGCCCAGTTTTGCTAAATCAACATTAGTTTTAATTGACGGGTATTACGAGTTGAAAGAGCTTCCTTACGTCGAAGACCGTGTTTCTCTGATTTGTCTAGTATGCAAAGAAAAATTAGTTACCAAACCGCTGGATTGATTTTCGCATTAAAGTTTCATCGTTGACTTGACATTGACAGCAGGCATGAGTTTCCTGCCGAAAACTAAGTCCTTACTTGAGTGTGTTGTTTGTAATGTAACAAAAACTGCTGCGAGACGGAGTTCAGTCAGTCGGGAGACGAATAAAAATCAAACAGAGCGCATGTCTTTCTAGCTTGACAGTTAGCTCACTGGATTCATAATTAGGGACTCGGTTGGTGCACTAAACACAGTATATACATAGCGAAGTACGTGTGGTTCGCCTTGTCTGGGTAACGAAGCGAAATCAAATTTATCCATGCACTTTCAGTTCAATTCCAGTGACATGCTGACGAAAAACAACCCCAGAAGATAAATGTTTCGATGTCTTCCGTAATCATCCATCAGACATTTGAGTCAAGAATTTTACTTTTTTTCAGAAGCGACGATAATCTGGAGCTTCAGCTCTTATACTTGCATATTTTCCTGCCGGATGGCCTGTCACAGAAACTGGGGGTAAAGAGTATTAAACAGCGTCTATTTGTTCGGTTGCTTTAAAGAACAGAAACTCTTCTAAAACTACGAAGTGCAACAAATTAGACTAAGAAACCCGTCCCAAAACGGCCTTTATCAGAAATGTGGAGAAGGGTGTAGAGAAAAACGGACAGGATTTTCAGCACTATGGTCTCTCTCATCATCAGATTAAATTGGTGGAAGAAATATGCGCAGGATTTATAGGCCTGAAGGTATTCTACATATTTAGGAGAATTGACAAACGGCATGGCACTTACACATTGTTGCTCATGCTGCAACGAATAGCAGTCAAAATTTGCAAACCTTTAGGCATCCAAAAAGCAAAAATCCGCTTGAAAGTAAACCTTTTCTGCTCATTTGCTAATCAGTTTGTTTTTCACGGGAGACCCTAGTAAATCTCTCGTTTATGAGGTTCTTCGACTGAGTGTGCTGAACAGAGGCCGTCCCATGTTTTAGTTGGTACGATAATCGAGATCTCGCAGCATATTTTCATAAAGAAACCTACTCAAAATCTTTCTGAAAACTCTCCAACAGCCAACGAAGTTTCGCCCTTCCTGGGGCGAAACTGGATGAGTACGGAACAAAATAAAAGCAGAAAGTTCATGCTGTTGAATATTATCTGAATGTTATCTCATTCCTTTGCGCTATCATTTGTGATGCTGATGCTTTGATCTTGGAACCGCTGTTTTGTGAGTCGACCACATTGTGCCAGGCGTAGGAATCTTGAATGCAATGTTGCTTTCGCTACCTTAAACAGCAGTGCAAATTGCATGTCCGTTAATCAGTCACTGATCTCTGCTCCTGTGTCAAGCCTTCTTGTGCATTTAGAGAACGATCTACCACGATTACCAAATTGGTAATGCAAGATGTCTAAGATATCAACTTTGTTTTGTTGTTTATTCTTCGGATAATTTTGTATGCCTCCTGTTCATTGTCGTGATCTTCAGAAATAAACAATAAAAAGCACAAAACTTTGGTGTTCTTCTAGCAAAGTGAAACGCTTATGGTGGTGAATGAACAGTTAAGCTAGGGAAAACAATCGTGGGGCCACATCTCACAGATGGGAGATAAGGTTAGGTGGGCTTGATATGAACCAGAGGAATGGCGATGCATACTATCAGATGTGATACAGAGAACGGAAATCATAGTGCGCAAAACAGCAACTGGTGACCTCTGCACCTTTGCCTTTTATTTTTGGCTTACTTACTTTCTACGTTTGATTACAAACTTCTCTCTATCATTCTCCCGATCGACTGTTCCATGAAATCCGACCTCTCACTTCATGGAAAGTTAGTTTGCCATAACAGCTATAAGGTGATCTCTGCAATCGCTGTTCAAACTAACAGTCCCAAACTGTTTCGTTCTAGCTTTCTTATGCAAGACTCCAAACCTGAGTGATGCAAATCAGCCTAAGGTTCAAAAACGACGTTATCTTGCCTACTGACCTGTGCACTTTTCAAACTGCATTTGCAATAGGTTGTCCGCAGAAGCAGTTTGAGGCTGCCCTGTTTGACCGCGAGTTTTATGTAGATATTTTTCCAAATCCAGGTCACTGTGATGACGTTATGAATGTTAAACTGTTTTGTTGGCTAGAGAAGAGTATTTAATGACTTAACCCATCTCAAACAACCTAATCAAATCTGATAAAGTTAGAAGACCTCTTGAAATAGATATTATCCCCATCGTTTTGAGCAACACAAAAACTGACGCTGGTGCAAATTTGAAGGCTAATAAGCACTACTCAACCTTATTTAGAACCGTAGAGATCGTTCACATATTTCTTTGGAATGTAAAATCATTTAGTGATATGGAATTTCAGGCTCAATTGAAAACAACTTGAGTTATTTGGTATACTTACACAACAAAACCCGAGATATAATTGCAGCAAGGGGCAACATAGCTGTGCAGAGTTCACTGTCAACTAAAGCAGGGATTTCAATAAATAAACGGCTTAGAAAGCCTACGTAACCATTGGCTTCATTGCCATGCCTTACCTGATCCCATTTCAACGCAAATTTTGCTATCGTCATGTGGGTCTTGGTCACATGATCTGTCAACATGTACTAACGGAAACTAGCCCAGAAAAACAATTTTTTAGCACAAGGCAGTGGATCAGCTCATCGGCATATCTGGTCCGAGGTAATATACTTTCCTGCACCGTAGCATTATAAGCAGAGCTACCTCACTAAAAGCATCGACGTATGCTTCCTATTAAGTCATAATCAGAAATCTGTTTCTGCAACGTGGCCTAACTGTCCTGGAACATCTTGCAACAGTTACGTTGGTATAGGTGTCTCATGGGCCAGTTTCACCTGCATTCCAACATAGACCAGCCTTCCCCCTAATTGTTATCCTGGTGCTGACTAACATTTGTGCGACAGATTAAGTACTATTGCCAAAACACTCCTGCAAGGTGAAACAGCCAACTGAACGAATGAACATGCTGTATGTGCACAAAAACTGTCCTCGGTATTCATGGAAAATTCGCTTTTTGTATGTCTAAGTGATGTCGATCTGCCACATGCAGTCATGGTAGTTTGAAGTGAAACTATTTTGAACCCCTTGAGTATGTACTACACCTCAGACAGAATCTTGTTGAGTACCGTTCTGCTTTTGTCTTCATTTTCTGTTTATCGGCCGCACAGGGAATCTAGTTGATTCTTCTTTTCCTAACGGTATAAGTTATTAAAATCATATGGATGACCCATATTCTGATAAGCTGAGGGTTTGTTTTTGTATATGCGAATATATATGCTCACAGCTCCACCACATCAGACTTGTCACATGATCTCGGTGACTGAAGACGGGAAGACTTTATTGCAGTCAGTAAAACACTTACGTAACTCAACCACGTGAACATGGAATTGAACGCTCTAGATAGGCCAACAGCCTACGTTATTCGGGAAGCGGACTCGAGACTAATCACTTGAGCATCGACAGACTTGTTGTCATTGATAATAGAATAAAACCAGTTTTTCAAGCAAATGGAGAACGGTGTTGTTTTGAATAAAGGTTGAATGCTTTCATACCATTTCTCGGCTGATCCGCTATGCTATGGAAAAACTTTTTACTGCTTATAAACGAATGACACGCGCACTGGAGCAAAGAATGGAACAATCGGGTTGTTGACCGTTTGTTTCACTACCAAATCTTCGCGAACAAGTGTTTCCTTTTTTCCTGCCCTTAATAAGTTGATAAAAACTGCTCTACTAGATCAGATTTCAACAAACATTTTCCAAGCGATCATCCTGATTTCCCAGTCGGGTGGAGGTGGAGCTAACTAATTACCTGATCTTTGGTGAAAGCACGTGAAACACGTGACCAATTTGCTCTCATCTAAGTCGTCCAACTCAAACACAACAAACGCATTAAGCTATAATTGACATTGTCAACGACCGTAACGTGTTGGTACTGTTCTCCAAAGTTCAGGTTGAATTTACATAAATTTTGGGTATGCTGAGTTGAACCTGAAAAAGTAGTGTATGCATTCTGTTACCCCGTGGCACACTGCGTCTTCAGCCCTCTACTGAAATTGAGTTGCCATTTGGATGTAAATTCATTTTATTGGATATGACTTGTTTTTTACGCGTTGTTTTATGCAGATAATAATGAGTTTGATGGTACGGACTTGGTATTAACCTACTGTTACTTCACTAACACGTTTGAGGAATAAACGGTCTGTTATGTAGTGTACAGCACAACGAAAACACTTGCATTTTGACAATAAATGCTGTCACTGAAGAGAAATCGCCGATCTTAGTAGGCAGCTTTGGTGTGTTAAGTTTCTCTACAATGCAAAGCAAACTACGGGCGTGGAAGTAGCAACAGGGTGATGATTGATTAATTAGAGTGTCCTCTTAAGCATTTTAGTGGATGGTTTATGAATGAAACAATTTATTTATCTGCATAGTAGTCCCTATAACAAGCCCCATGTGATGGCAATGTGGGCAAATACTCAAGTGAGAGTAAAGAAACCTTGCTCTCTCAGACTATTCTGTCGAGTATGTTTACACCAGTTGACAAAATCAGCAACCCGGAAATCTGAAGTTTTTGGTCCAGAAAAC